GTGATACAGAAAAAACTTGACATAAACCTGTGGAAAACAGGTAAAGGAGCAGGAAACGCCCATGTTAAAAGAGAAAAAACCCACATATACCCCAAAAGACATTCTATTCTCATTTTCAACACATTCATTAATACTTACCATCCTCTATATACCTCATGTAAAAGAAACAACAGCAACAAAGGAAAATAAAGTGATGTTTAAGTCAATAAACTCAATTTATTTGGAAAATTTATAAAGTAGCAAAACGCTTAAAACAGAATGGTGAAAAGAACATGCTTCCTGTTCTTTGAAGCTTATTTATTCATTATTACTAATTGCCTTTTGCAACAAAGGCTTCAAAGTGCTTTCATACAGTTTCTCATCTTAGCCTCATAACTAGTTTTAAGAGTAGAACAGGTGTTATTCCTACTCCATAAACAAGAAGAAGGTGCACATTGGAAAAATGATTTGACCAAACTCAGCCACTAAGGACTATGAGCTACTCTCTAGGCAGTACCTACTCCCTCTGAGGACAAATAAGCCTGGCAAACTGCAGTCTGTGAGGCTGTGACAAGTCAGGGGCAATAAGGATCTACTACTACCGCCATCACCAGCACCTCCATCACGATCACGACCACAACCACGACCACCATCCTCATTCCTCCTCTTCCTATTAAAGGAGCCCCATCCACCTTCCTGGATTCTGAAAATACCTGAAAGCAGTAACATGGTGAAAGAAAATGTGACAAAGAAGTTAGAGGATGGAAGGAATAAACAGTAACAGAGTTAAGATCATCCTACTTATGCTCCAAACAAACCTCACAAACATGAAACCATCAATGCTGACGACTGGGAGGCAGAGGCGCTGACACTCCCTGGCACAGGGCACTGAAAAGGGCGAACAGCAGGCAGACAAGGCAACAGAGGTGTGCGGAGAGCACTGGAGTCCAACTCGGTCAATCAGGATGTCTTTAGGAACTTGTGTACAATGTCTAACAAAAAATTATAAGAACTCCAACAACCAAAATCTGTCATTCTCAGTTCAGTAAAAATGAGCACTTCTGTACTGCTAGCACGACAGGGGCAACAAGGACGCGTTCAGCAAGCGCCGGAAGGCACATTTCTCTTTGATCTTTTGAAATGACCAGCATACACAGTGCTCAGAGTCTCTCACTGTGACGAAGTGACCACATGCACCCTTAATGTCATATTCCTAT